TGCTCTGTAAATTGAAAGCCATTCTCGTTTGGGCATGGATGCGCTGGTGACCGCATGCTCATGTAGCACGAACGCTATGATGTTTCTCTCAACAACATTGAAAATCTCTGCGGTCATTAATGACGATGGTAGCCAAAACCATACACACTAGGGTCTAGGCAGGGTCTGGGACTAGGGTTCAGGCTGTAGGGAACCCTAAACCCTAAATTGACCTTCAGCCCCGAAATCTGAGGCCCCAAGGCTTGGGGTCTGGAATTAGGGTTTAAGTTTTAAGGTTTGAGAGCTTAGGGCTGGGGGTCTAGCATCCAAAGACCTAATTGATCAGGGTCCAATCACGAAGGTTTAGGGTTTAGGGTTCAGGGTTTGGTTTGGGGGGTTTAGGCCTTAGGGTTTAGGGTTTGGGGTTTGGGGTTCCCAAACCCTAAACTCAAGGCCTCCATACTCACCTCTCGGTAGAACACGCTGGGCGTGTCGACGCGCAAAAAAGTGTGCCCGGCCGCCTGATTTCAGGTTGCGCTGTTTGGGCTGTACGTTTTGGGGTTTAGGGTCTAGGGTCAAGGGTTTAGAGTTCAGGGTTTTCACTGGGAGAGTTTCGACTCAGCAGTCTTATGCCTCGAAACTGTAAACCATGAACCTGATGATCTCTACACTCCATATCCTACATCCTAAGTCAGACCTTAAATACCAACGCGAAATCCAAAAACTCAACCCAAAACTGCGTAGGAATTTCACAAGCTCAACAAGGGCCCCAACTTGCGCTTCGGAGCGTGCCGTCCGCGCAGCTGCCTCCTTAAAGGAAGTGGCAGGTTCGGGGTTTGGGGTTCAGGATTTAGAGCTTAGACTTTAAGCATTAGGGCTCAGGGATGGAACCCTGTAGCTTAGGATTTTGGGCCTGGGGTTTGGGGTGTTGGGAGTTTGGATTTGACAACCTTAAGGGCTTGGGTTTTCTACAGATCCGCACCATGTGGAGCCACGGTCTGACCCCCTAAACCCTAGACCCTAAACCCATAGATCCTAAACCCTAAGCCCTAGATCCCCTAAACCCTAAACCCCAAGCCCTAAACCCTAAGCCCTAAACCCTAAACCCTAAGCCCTAAACCCTAACCCCTAAGCCCTAAACCCCTAAAATCAACACCCAAGGCTCCTCTTCCTCTGTGTCAACACAAGGCGCCGGACCAGCCTCCACTAGACGCAGTGCCCGCTTCAGCTCCTTCTTTCATTCTCTCACTAGGTTCCCCGGTTGAGGGTTTAGGGTTTAGGGTCATTATGAAAGCATAGGGTTCGCAGCTTAGGATCCAGTTTTTGTGCGGGTTTGGGATTGAGGGTTCAGGGCTTGGGGCGTCTGACTTACTTTTTTTTGGGGGGGGTTGTGGTGTGTGCGTTTACTTAGGGTTCAGGATGTAGGTAGGGATCTGACCAAGGGATCATCATCATCATGGCTGTTCACATGTCATTTTGGTTAAGATCGCGCGGTAATCAAAACTGACTACCACCACAACCACCTCTAAGGTCATTGCCCAAAACCTTGCTATAGATGCTAAGCCATAGTAGGCCACCAGGCTACACATACTCCTGAAGTATCATTTCTATGTGGAGAAGTGCTTGGCTCCTTCTCTGGAACAGACGGCTCGGCACGCAGCTCCTTAATGCGAGGTAAAAGCCCCGCACCCCCAGACTGTCCTGCATTGACCTGACAGGTTCCGCAAAAGACTTCAAAACACAGATGCCTAAAACACTATAACCTATAGAGCCCCAGAATGCCAAAATGGCGACCTGTTCCTCGTCAGAACTCCTACTTACGCTTCCGCCCGGGGCCCCTTACTTACTGGTGCTTTATTCCCTTGATCCCCTACTATTTTTGGGGGAGCTTAGGCCTCAGTGAAGAGTGTCAGCGCTTGGTGGCTGATGCAGCTGCTGCACAGGGGGGCCAGCACAAGCCCCTCGAGCTCCTAGCCAGGCGTCCAAATGTTTAGGGCTCTGTCCCTACAATTCAGGGTTTCGGGCTCAGAGTTTAGGACTTAAGGTTTGGGGCTTAAGGTTTGGGGGTTAGGTTAGGGCGTAGGGTGCTGAAACCTTGACAATGCTGTTTCCCTAAGCCCCAAAACCTAAATCCCCAACCCTGAACCCTAATCCCTACATCCCAAACCTGAAACCTTAACCCTAAACCCCAAATCCTAAACCTGACACATTAAACCCTTAGCCCTAAACCCCAAACCCCCAGGCTCAGGAGAGTTCGCCATTTCAGGACTGCTCCAACGGACAGCGCCACAGTTTCTGCGGGTCCCATTGGGCGGCAGGGCCATAACCTGCCGACAGCCAGAGGTCTGAATCTTTAAAGGAGCTATGGGGTACAGAGTTTAGGGCTGAGGGCTTAGGGTTTAAGGCTTAGGGTTTGGGGAGGGCTTAGGGATTGGCAAGAATTAGGGAGGGTTTGGGGTTTAAGGGGTTAGGAGCCGAGGAATTAAGGTTCAGGGAATGGGATTGGGGTTTAAGGTCCGCTTTGTATACTTGATACTAACCATCCTTCACCCTGGGTACCCTGCACCTTTGAAAATGCTGGGAATTTGGTGCTGGGAGTTTAGTATCACAAGGTCATCCAGAACTGTTAATATCAACTGCATGGAGGATTCTTCGAAGGTGCGGCGAGGCGTTTGGTTTAAGCAGGAGCCTTGGAATTAAGTGCTCTCGTTGCTAGCAACATAGCCATGAATGCGATTGCTAGCTTTGCTTTGCAAGAGTAACGTTCTTGCCATATTCATTGCGGGAAAACTTGCAGAATCAATGGCGTTCGTATCATGGCAACCATGCTGGCCGCAGTTCTGACTGTTGGAAATAACATATTGATTTCGTCAGCATCGCCGTTCTCATGATGATGATTGTCCAGTACCCATTTCGGCTACCACAGGCTAGGGCTATCAGTACCATCTATTCCTATCATCTCTCCGATCATAGCTCTCTATAACTGTTATGTAATGTCACTGATATGGTGCTTTCCATGATACAGGGTCGCATCATAAACCTGGAAGATGCTCTAGCCTTTAACGCATGGAATTCCCACAAGAAGCCCCTAGCTTGTTTTTTTTTGCCAAAAAAAAACCTTCCGTTTGACTCTCCATTAAAGAGGAAATATCCCGAAATATCCCTTTCATTCTCGCAAACCGCAAGCCCTAATACTAAAACCCTAGACCCAAAGGACCCCAATCCTGAACCCTAAACCCTAAACCTCCTTCCCCCTATCATGGACACAGTTCTTGGCTTTTCATTCCCTACTGCCACCTTCCAGCCGTAGATCTTCTCCAAAGCATCGTAGCAAGCATCTGCTTCAACGCCGCCCTTCCTGGGTTGAGGTTAAGGAACTTAAATCAAGTTACCATTAAAAAAAAGTATATAGGGGTATATAGGGTAAATAGAGTATATAGGGTAAATAGGGTTTAGGGATGTTTAGGGTTAAGGAACTTAAATCAAGTTACCAGAATGGATATATGTAGTACACAAGATGGTTTTCCCAACATAGTAACTTAAATGAAGTTCCTGAACAGCACCCCGGCTTCAGATACAAGTTAGTTGTCCATGCTGGAAGCGTAATCCGAGCTGAGCCCTGCGCCTGCACGTGTTGGTGGTAAGGAATGTGGGATACAGACTCCAAAATGGTATAATCCTTACTATGGGAAACCCCAAAATGGTACCCCTGATATTGGGAAACCCCATATATGTACAGGCTACTAGGAGTCTACATGGACTATCCCTCCATTTTCTTCTGAATCCCACAGCCCCGCAGTAGTTTCCATGTTCTTTTTCATCACCTGCCAACCACAGCAAGTTCAGGGTGAAAGGTTTAAGTGTTGAGGTGAATGAGCCGGCGGGGAAGGGGAGATATGTGTCTACAAGCAACTGAGTTACCGTGGTTCTAGCACGATGCTTCTAATTAAGGTTTAAGCTAACCTCTACAGTCCTAAACACGAAAGCCTAAACCCCACCCTACACTCAGTAAGCCTAAACCCAAATGGTAGTTTCCCAAAATAGGGGGACCCCAATATAGACCCCAATCTACTATAATCCTTATTCTGGGACCTCCAAAAAGGTACCCATAATTTTGGGAAACTCCCAAATCATCCAGTGCCTTCATAACACCTGTGGTGAAGCTTCCTTGGAGCCGGAGTGGTGCTACATCCGGCTTGGACTGTTGGACAATGCCTGTCCATGCAGGTAAGGGCTGATACAACAAAGGGGTTTAGGGTTTAGGGTTCAGGGCACAGGTTTCAACGCTACAGGTGTACGGTATTATCACAGGTATCTTGATCCTAAAAACTAAAGCCCCAAACTCTACACCCCAAAACCCAAATTCAAGAAAAAAACTAAAACCTACCCCGTAGCTGGCTGCGGCCGCCGGAGACCCCGATGCTTGACCCTGCTCACATAGCCACACTGCAGACGGGGATGCCGAAGCCCTACACCCTAAATTGATAAAGCCCAAACCCGGAACCTTGAACCCTAGACCCCAAACCGCGAAGCTTAGACCCTAAGCCCCGAAAGCTAAACCCTAAGCCGTCAACGCTAAACCCTAAACAGTGAAAGTCCTAAATCCGAAACCCTAAACCCCTAAACCCTAAATCCTAAACCCTAAACCCCAAACCCCAAACCCTAAACCCTAAACCCCTAAATCCTAAACCCCAAACCCCAAACCCCTAAATCCTGCGCCTTT